TTGCTGGCAGATATTTTCATCATGCTGCAGGAACCTGTGAAAAGGGTTTCTGCCAGGAACAGCTACTTTGTTATCTCCTTTTCCTCTGGCAAAGAAGACCTCTAGCATCCTACTGTGCCAGTGCTAGCCCCCAGACTCCTATGGTCTCTATTCACATATACTTGTTAAGCATCTCAAAATCCCATCCTCTGCCTCAAACTCTCAGGCTGCTGTTCAAGGGCTTTCCTCCTCTTAGCTATTCATCCTTCTAGCCTATATCCATCACCCTCCTTCTCTTTGTTCTGCCCCATACCCCTAAACAGTCTTCGCAGCTTGGAATAAACTTTTCCTTTTCCACCCATGGAGCCGCCATTTCAGTGGTTTCTTCATCGCATCCTTGCTTTACAGGGAGTATGTGACTAGTAAACTCAAGGAGACATGATGTGCATTGTTTACATGCTTGGGCACTCGCCTCCCTCTGCTTAAGTAACAGGCAATTGTCATGATGGTGACTGTGCTGGCAACTTGGTTTGTTGCATGGTTCTCCAGGGGACTTAACTTGTTGATCTGCAGTGGATATGTTGCATGAATGAAACACAAACTATTCTAAGCTATTGTGATGGTAGTTATAGCATAATTTATCTTGAATTACTCCAAAAGGAAAAACAATACATGGAGAGTTTGTGATATGTTATGCATAAATCTACCTCATTGCCCAGCAAACCAGGAAATTTCCAAAAATATTTTCTTTACCAAAGCACTGAGAAGTACATCAATTACGAAGTGTGAGCTCCCCTGGGAATGTCTATCACTACAGCCTCCTCAAAGCAGGAGATAATTACAGAATAAAAACATTTGTGGTTAGCCAACTGGAGCCTGTGAATATGTGGTAGCAATATCGGCAACCTTCTGAGTCATGGGGTCTATGTGGAATTCTGAGTCATCAGGTCCATCTGGAAGACCTCTCTTCTAGGCACTGTTTCATCATGCTACTATCATGAGATGATCCATAGCTGTAAGGTTAAGATATCTTTATTTGGATAACCACCAGCCAAACACAAGCCAGAGTGTGTCAGGGGCAGCAAGGCAGGAAGTCCAGAGAGAAGGGGCTCCCATGTGCCTTGCAGCCCCTTAAAACCCTATCACGGGTCATCCTGACCTCACCTTGACCATGCCCTGACAGGCGTGGTCAGGCACACCTGTAGCCAGCAGCAGGCCTGGCTTACACTGTCCCCTACATAGGCTCCAATAAAGCTTTACTGAAGTAGTTTTATTATAGAGTGAACTGAGCTAGTTCCAGAAGAGATGTCAGAGGCTGCAAGCCCCTACAAGCAATAGGATAGGTAAAGTGTCCCTGGGAGTAACAAGGACAGAGACTTACAGTAAAGAGCTATGGAGAGAACTGTTAAGGAGCTATAGGCTACCACTGATAGCAGAGATCCAGTGTCTTTGGCTGCCAAGGGGCCACCAAGACTGACTGAGAGTGGCACTGATGGCACTCAGTGAGCTGCGGGCCACTGACACTGAAAGTTTGGGGATGTTCACAACAAGGGGGACTATACTTTCTTTATTCAAATTTTGTATCAGAATATCACAAAAGAGCATAGCTGACTCATCTTATTGCATGTCATACTGTGAAAGTTACTCCTAAACCCCCATCTCTTCTGACCATTTCTAAAGTGACCTGTGGCCATGTATGTAGTCTTTACAAACATGTTCTCAGAATATTAGAAGACTGAGGTCATTCGAATCTCAGGGAATAAAGTGTTACTGTAATGTACTAGCCACTGCAGGCACTTTGAGAAGTCATTTTATGCTAGCAAAAATTCATTTCACATAGGATCCAGGGGAGAAAATGTACAAGTTAAAATCACAGAGCAGTAGAGAGGCAACTGTTGGCTGACCCAAGAGATACAGACTATAAATAGTACAGTATCCTAGGTTTACATCATGCCCCTGGAACTGTAAGTCAAAATCAACACAAAAGCTCCAGGGGAATGACACTTGCAAGATTTATAGGTGTCTGTCTGTCTGTCTGGGTTTACGTTGCTGTGAAGAGACACCATGACCATAGTGACTCTTATAAAGGAAAACATGTAATTGGGGCTAGCTTACAGTTTCAGAGGTTTAGTCCATTATCATCATGGTGGGAAATGGTGGCATGAGGGAGACATGGTGTTAGAGAAGGAGCTGAGAGTTCTATATCTTGGTCTGCAGGAAACAGAAGGAGTCTGTGTCCAACACTAGGCTTAGTTTAGGCATAGGAGACCCCAAAGCCCCCACCCATAGTGACACACTTCCCCCTACAAGGCCACACCTACTTAAAATAAAATAAAAGTAAAAATCCCCTGTAAAATAAAAATAAAAATCAGGTCACATACTTCTAACATATAATGGCACAGGATATACATTGCCATTCCAAAATGTAAGGAAAGGAACATAGTGAGGAAACACTGGACCAACGCCAGACCAAAATCCAGGTGGGCAAAGTCCAAACTCTGTATTTCCATATCTGATATCAAAACACTCTTCAGATCTCCAACTCTGTTCAGCTTTATTGACTGCAATGTATTTCTTTCTTTCTCTTGGTCTAGGCCTGTTAGCAGCTCTCCTTGGTAGGTATTCCATAGCTATGGCATCTCCAACATCTTGGGGTCTCCAAAGCAAGCCAGTCTTCACCTTTATGTAATAGTCTCTCTGGTCCTCCATGCAGGGACACCCTTGACCTTCAGAAGCTTTCCTTAGTCATGAAGGGAGATTTCATAACCCCTTTCTTCTATCTTTGACTTTAAATTGAGAACCATGGACTGAAGCTGCCAAATTCTTCTGCTTGCTGGGGCTGGAACATCTTCATCAGCTTCCTGTTTTTAATGGTTTCCTTCACTGCCTAAGCTTGGCTTTTCTCGAGTTTGCTCTGTAGACCAGACTGGCCTCACACTCAGTGATCTGCCAGCCTCTGTCTCCAGAGTGCTGGGATTAAAGGTGTGCACCTCCACACACACTTCTAAGCCTTTCTTTAATTCTTCTTCACAAGTTGGAAGTTTAGGTGGATGGGAATTTGCCTCAAGGTCACCAATCCCTTTATTCAATTTCTTAACTTTGAACACGGGATTTAGCTCCATTCCACTTCCTGGTGCTCCTTTTCTCCTCAAGTTGTATATTTTATATTTTTACTTTCTCAGTTTGTTCCTTGTTACTACATGGCAGAGTCAATACTAGGTTGTTTTGAGATTTCCTCTGCCAACAGAATTACTCCAAAACTCTTCAATATAGCCTTAGGCAAACTTTTCAGACAAGGGGAAAAGCAGCCACATTCTTCACTGAAGTATCACAAGACCTATCTCTAGGCCACATACTAATATTTTTCTCCTCTGAAACCCTTTGAGCTAGGTTCCCACGGTGCAAAGCACCACTGTCTTTCGTATTCCCTCTAGAATGGCCCATTAAGTCCCAATTTTTCTAATCTGCTTTTCTAATCCATAGTCCCAAATTCCATATTCTTCCAAACAAAAACATGGTCTAGCCCATTATATCAATACCCTGGTCCCTGGTATGAACTTCTGTCTTTCTTTGGGTCTATATTGCTATGAAGAGACCACCATGACCACAGCAACTCTTATAAAGGAAAACATTTAGTTGGAACTATCTTACAGTTTTCGAAGTTTAATCCATTTATCATCATGGTGGAAAATGGTGGTATGAAGGGAGACATGGTATTGGAGAAGGAACTGAGAGTTCCTCATCTTGATCTATGGACAACAGAAAAAATCTATGTTCCATATTGTGTATAGCCAGTTTCTTTCAAATCACTTCAGTGTCAATTTGTATTAAATCTCAATATGTTGCTGTCCCCTACATAAATTGGTGAGACACGTCAAATGCCTGGAGTTTGGTGGTCTATAGACTATCATAAGCGTCCATTTAGCATGATAAGTTGGAAGCACCTAGGAAGAAGCGTACCCACTGGCCACCTTAGAGCTTGAAGACAATCTATTTGATATTTGAGAATGCTGCTTCACACCATCTACTGTATGATTCATGAAGCTGCCTACTTTGCTTGAAACCTAGAATGAGAGGAGCTGTTCAGGTGGAAGGCTTACAGCTCTGCTGTTGTCATCATATTTATGCTTTAGTATTTACAGCACATAGCTTCATTCTGTGAAGTTTCTAAAACAAAACAAAACAAAAACAAAACAAAACAAAAAACCCCAGCTGGAACTCACAGAATGGACTTTTAGGTTCAGAGAAAATTTACTTCCTTCTCATTAAGCCTATTAGAAATCAATTTAAAAAAATACATCTCCCAGCTTCCATTGCAGACTATGAAAACCATTTACAACCATGTCTGCCCCTGTAAGGGTCTTTCTCCCATCTTCCCCTGTAGACATTTTGGCCATCCTTTTATGTGGATGACAAGAAGCTCCCTCGCTGTGCCATGAATAAACGTGATTCCCACATAAGGTCAGACCAAGCCTCTCTTTCCACCTTCCATCTCTCTATACCTGCTTTGAAAAATAATCCAGACATGATTCTTGGCTGGTTACTAGGCTCTTGCAATGATCCAACCACTGATAAAAGGACACAGAGTGACAGTGAGAGCTGAGAGAGTCCTTAGGGCCTAGTGCCATAAGACATACTTAGAAATGCTGTGGACAAATGTGGACTTATATAGTTGGGAAATGTAGATTCTCAGATAATTTTCTAGAAGTGTGAAAATGCCATATCTCCAGAAATATACATCTATTCACAAACACATACAGATACCACACACACACACACACACACACATTAAAAATGAAAGCATTGTAGCTTGCTTGTCTTTGAATCCCATAGTAACATGTATTATTCATTGTATAAGGTAGTTACTATAAAATTATAATTAATTACAATAAAGTAAAGTTGAAATGAGAATAATGCAATTTTCCATGTGTCCTAATTTTCCTGCTATCATTGTAATAAACAAGGTGACAAAAAGCAAGTGGAGGAGGAAAGGGCTTACTTCCTCTTACTTCATCTTACAGCTCACAGTCCATCCCCAAGGAAAGTAAAGAAGCTCAAGGCAGGAACCTGGCGGTATGAATGACAGCAGAGAACTGAGGAATGCTGCTTCTGGCTTTCTTATACAACTCAGGTACACCTGCCCAAGGGTGGCACTGCCTGAGCTGGCCCCTTCTATACCAGTCATTAAGAAAAAAATGTTTCACTGACATACTTACATGACAATAGGTTGGAAGCACGCCCTCCACTGAGGGTCCTCTCATCCCAGGTGACCTTAGTTTGTGCTGAGTTGACAGAAACTAACCAGCCCAGCATGTCTTCCTCTGCCTATATTTCCATTTCCAATGTGGCTCTTATGGTCAGCCGAAGTTACCAAGATCTCTGCCACTGGACAAAACTGTGGAACAAATGCAAATCACTTCTGGCAAAATCAGTGGTCCCACAGACCTTCTCTTCAGGATACCCTCACAAAAGATCTCAGTATTCACTTCGAAATCTGGATGCCTGACTCATGGATGAATATCATGTTGGATTAAAAAAAGAAAACTTTTTGATTTTGTTTTGCTCATTGCTTTCAAAAATTAGTAAATTCTTATTAGATTTGACCAGAAAGCTTGCAACCCATGTCACTAAAACCATTTCAGTAACCAATTAAAGTATGCTAAAAGTACTGTGGTGTCCCAAGTTTAAATGGAGACATTTAACCTTGTATGACACAGTGACTGGCTTGAGTCATTTTAGCTATTTAGGCAATTTGTTCACCTGCTCAACTGAATTAATTACTATTAAGTTTGTGACTTGTGATCCTTCTTTGCTAGTTGAGTCGATGTCCTTTATATTCCTACTATAGCAGAGATTAGCAGAGATATTTCATAGTCATACGACATGACTCAATAAAGTCTGACTTTCAGGACATTCTTATTAGTGTTTTACCATTGTGATGCTGGTACAGGACACGTAGAGAATATCTACTTATCTTCTATTTGTGGAGAAACTGAGCATGTGGTTGGTTTTGTGGGCTCAGAGAATTCCCAAGTTCTCTTGCTTATTCTGGCATACTTAAAACAACCTGGTCATGGAAAAGCTGTTTGGGTTTGCTTTGAAACAAGAGTGTGTAGGTGTATGTGTGTGGGATTGTTTGTGTTGTGTGGATTGGGGGCATGGAAGTCAAAGTCAGATATCTGATTTTAGGGTTGCAGAGAAATATGCTGTTTATCATCCTCTATGCACCAGAAAGCCTCTGTCGACACAGGGATTTCTGCTCTCTGAAGCGTCTGACGGGTATCTATCTTTCCATATGCTGTTCTTTCTAGTGTTTTATATAACTTCTACTATGAGATACTGTAACTTACTAGTTACTGTTGTGTTTCTTGGCCTCATTCTGGATCAGTCATAGAATATTATGTTCCTAAGAGGTTAGTTTTTAAATTATGTGAGTGCAGCTATTCCTCTTAGCTCACTTGTTTCTGTCCTATGTCTAAGGCAGTTATGTAAACCTTTGGTCAGAGGTTTGGTCATGATTTGGAAAGTGAACTGGAAGTGTGAAGTAATCCATTCCCACTAAGGACCAAACTAGACCTATAAAGATTGGCAAGGATTATCAATTTCTTAAACTTACTATCATTTTTAGATGGTCCCCAGTTTTACCCTGGGGTTGATGGTGGAATTGGGTTTGTGTTTTAGAAGAAAAAGTTGCACAATGAGGCCCACTGACGTTCCTTCTCAGAAAATATACAGAGTGGATTTTTAAAAGTATATTTATTTTTACTGCTTTAATTCTATGATTGCTGCATGCATGTGAGTGCAGCACTGGGGGAACCCAGAGGAGGGCATCTGATTCTCTGGGTTTGGAGTTACAGGCAATTGTGAGCTGCCCAGTGTGGGTGCTGTGAACTGAGCTCAGGTCCTCTGCAAGAGCCTCGGTACTCATAACCATTTGGCCAGCTCTCCAGCTCATTGGAAGGTGAATCTTTCGGCAACATCTGGTTTATGCATAGTAATTTATACTTGCAACATATCTATAATCTGTCTCCTTTATTTCTTTTCCAAAAGGAATTGTGTTTTCTATAAGTGACCAAAAAATAGAACGAAATATCTGAAATTAGTACTATTTTAATTTTTATGTTTTCCATTTATTAGTTTTTGCATTTAATAAGATTATTTAAATGACCTTGTAAAATCCACAAGAATATTTATATCTAAAATATTGTTTAATTTATTACATTTCTTTCAAAACCACTGTCTATATTTTTTAATTTTAATTTTAAAAAGTCAGCCAAAATCTTTAACTGCTTTGTTTTAGTGATATCCATCCATACAAATATTTATCTAACATTCATTTAAGCAAGTTGTCTTATGTGTTTGAAAAATGTCCCCAAAATGAGAAATGTAGACTCTGCATACTGTCATTCTGATGTGATTTCTTTCATTGTGTTCTAATTTTGTATAAAACTAAGATATGTGTTCCTAGTAATGGACTATAATCTCAAAACGCCAACATGTTCTGTATTCACATCCAGATTCTCGAATATTGAAAGTAAAAGATTTTCTGCCATTTCTGAGGAGTTGTTTCACTAGATGTCACATCTTTAAAGAAATACTACTCAGAACAGTTTGGGTATTTTAATTTTTTGTATAATTTTTAAAAAGAAGTTTGTGTTTGGAAGATAAACATAATAGAACCCAGAACCTGTATGTTCTCACTTTTGAATGTTTGCTTTAGGGTACACAGTTCATATTACTAACCACATTGTTGTGCTTACCTGCAAATAGTGATTTAAAACCAGGGATTGCATGAAAGTGTACTTTAGGGAGGCAAAGATAGGGTTGCTATTCCTTGGACCAGTCATGGAGGGTAGGGTTTGATAGACTCTCGGTAGCTCTAGGAGCTCAGGACTTGATAGAAAGGATGGCAATCAAATGTTGCTTGCACAGACCCAGCAACCATCATGCACAGGTTTTAGTATCAAAGGGGCAGTGACATATCATTAAGAGATGAGCAAGCTTGATAAGTACAAAAAAACATCTGCTATTGTTTATGTCGATCACAGAAGGGTGTATCAAGACACATTTGTGCCCAAGCTCACATTTAAAAATGTCAGCCACAGAATTTGATAATAGAAGAAGCCACCCTGACCACAGGAAGATTAAGGTGGGTGGGAAGATCACTGTCTTTTGCTTTAAGTGCTTGGCAAAGTTCCCAGATGTTCTAGGAGCACCGACACAGGACTGCAAATTTCTGGGTGGCCTGGGGTAAAGGTAGCATTCACTGAGTATGTCTTCTCAACTAGTTTTCCACTTTCAAAATGAGATAGAAAAGAAAAAGGAAAGGGTCCTTAAATAACTGCGAACAAACCAATCACAGCAAGACAAAACCAAAACCAAATAAAATAACAACAAAAATAAATAAGAAAACAAATACAGCCTCCAACAAAACCCAAAAAGCAAGCAAGCAAGTTCCTGGGGACTATTGGAAGGCTTTTAGGACCAGTTATGTCATGTTCTTAGTGAGCCATTGGCTTGCTGAGTTAACCCACGGTATCCACTCCACTTGTGTGTGCAGGATGCTGCTGCCACTGTCCCTGGGGGGCTCCTTCAAACTGACACGGAAGACTTGGACTGCTGAAGTTTCTGCTGTAGTTACTACCAACTTTAGACAAGCAGCATCAAATAGATGAACTCACAAGACTGTTGAGGATCTGTGAGCTGACTCATGGGTTAGTCTCATGTCATATAGATGGTTTGTTTGTCAACTTACCACAAAGTAGAGTCACCTAGTAGGGAGACTCACCTGAGGAATGGTGGAGATTGTGTTAACTGATGTGGGAAGGATCACCCCAAATGTGGCCTGGGTATCTTGGTTCCATTCCTAGAATCCAAGTAAAGATGGAAGGAGAGAAAAAACTCCACAAAGTTGTCTCTTGACTTCATCCTCATGCCATCTCTGTCTCTGTCTTTCTCTTTCTCACACAGACTCTGATGTTAAACACAAACAGTTTTTAAAGACACATCATTTTGTTTCTTGCATGTACTTTCTCCTTAAAGACATATGAACAATGTCAGTAATAGCAGCATTAGCTCTGCTGTTTTGAAGGATATGACTTCATATGTCAGGAATGATGTTCAGCTGCCAGAACTGAACTTTGCATTGCTTGGTGCCTTAAAGGTTTGTAGGGCAGGGTCTGTGCTGTGCAGTATAGTTGTCTGGGTATGAACTCCTCTTTGTTCCATTTGTCATCATTGTCAGGAGTAATGCTGTGTTGAAACTTGAGAGATGTGTAGGAAAAGGGTAAAATAGTCATTGTGAGCACTAGCTCAAGTGTACTCTACACCAGCAAATGGATATTAGTAGTTTGCACAAGGCAATTTGCAAAAGGCTTGCCTCAGCTTTACCTCAGCACTATGCAATGCACAACAAGTTAACTTTACTGAGTCTCACTAGCTTCTCTTCAAAATGGAGGATGGGGCTGGAGGGGTGGCTCAGTGGTTAAAAGCACTGGCTGCTCTTCCAAAGGACCTAAGTTTGGGTTCCCAGAACCCATAGGGAAGCTCACAACTGTTTTTATCTCCAGGTCCTGGGGGTCTGATACCCTCTTTTGGCAAAACATCCAAATACATAAAGCAAAAATAATTATTTTAAAATATGGATAGCAGCATAAGGACCTCTTACATTGTAAAGAAAATGCATCAATCCTGACAGATAGTAAACACACAATATTATTCAGCATTATTATTACTATTATGCTTTATGCATATTAAATAAAAAGTTGTATCTATTTTTTTAGTGAATATATAGTAATTTACTATTCAGCTGTACAAGTAGTTCTGTGCTGTGTTGTTCCACCATATTTGGTGATCCTCTCAAGGGCAGGCTTGTATTTCCCTCACCCACTAGTGTCCACTTGCCCACATGGCTACTGTGGCCAATGGGACTATTGACAAACAGTGTTGGCACTCCTCAGCATAAACTCTGGGGCCATTGTGTGGGTTAGTTTCTATCCCCATGACACTTTAGTTAGCAGACTCTAGCCAGAGGTGCCTTCAGCAATTCATTCTAGAGTGAAGACAGGCAGGGCAAGCAGGCAGTCTGCAGAGCAAGCCTTAAGAGCTGGAAAGAAGCTTGTCTCAGCAGCTCAGACTCCGAGTCACCTGCATCTGAAGAAATTTCCCCTGCAAAAGCTAGCATCACACACATTCCCATGAGCAGGTATGCCTATGGTTCCAGCTTTTAGAAAGTTGAGGAGTTCAAGGCCATTCCAGGCTACATAAGGAGTTCAAGGTCATTCCAGGCTACACAGGGAGTTCAACGCCAGACTGGGCTATGTGAAAGAATCTATCTCACCCCCAATCCCCAAGAAACAACAACAAAACCCAAAATTAACAAACAAAAACAATACAAACAAATCCCCAAACCTAAAGACCAATATTTTTCTCTTACCTCCTCCCTCCAAAGGAATTCTGTTACTCAGGACCCAGTGGCTAAGCCATTCCCAAAATAAACACGGAGGAGGCTGCTCAGCTGGGTCTGTCTTTTCCAGTGGAAGGAACAGAACAGTTCTTTCCAGAGCATGGATTTTAGGTTTGGCATTGGACTGAAAGCGTTTTTGTGGCCTCCTGGAGCCTTGCTTTCAAGTGAATTGCAGTTGTGGGTACTGATCCTTCTCAACACTGTGGAGCAAGCAATTACTACTAGTGTTTCTCAAATGGCCCCTCTCCAAAAACAACTTATGAATATAAAAATCAAAAGCTGAAATTCATTGTTCTTGACTTGGAACCCATCCCAGACAATTGCGCTGAATTTATTCATCACACATGAAAAGCAAAGTCTGAAGACAGTCTGAGTGTGAGGAGGAGGGGAAGGTGGGGAAGAGGCAGGAAAATGGAAATGAGACTAGATAGTCCAGTGGCAAGGCAGAGAGAGGTGCAAGGCCCAGGCTCTTTAATAAGACATTTTGTGCCTTTGAAAACTATTCTTATTTACCTATAATACTGTGTATGTTTGAGCAGCAATTGTTTGAGTTCCAAAATGTTAATTTCAGAGATGTCAACTTCAGCCTTTTCATGGGCAGGCTTCTTCTTTCAGACGAGGGACTGAAGTAAGCCTAGCTCAGACCAGGCTTTCTTGGTGTAGGTTATAGGCAGTGGTAGGCAGGATCTGAGATCTGGATGAACAGTGATCAACCTTTCAATGCACTGAGCAAGTTTGCCACTTTTGATAGGTTACAATGATGACGTTTAGTATGAAAACAAGTTATTACCTTCAACTTATTATTTTGGTCACCCCGGTTTGGCTATCAATGTTAAGATCAATAAGGAGAGGAAAATAACATTAAGAATAGCATGAGAGGGGGCTGGAGAGATGGCTCAGTGGTTAAGAGCACAGACTGCCCTTCCAGAGGTCCTGAGTTCAATTCCCAGCAACCACATGGTGGCTCACAACCATCCGTTATGAGATCTGGTGCCCTCTTCTGGTGTGCAGATATATATGGAAGCAAAATGTTGTGTACATAATAAATAAATAAATCTTTAAAAAAGTCCACTAAAAAATAGTATGAGAAATAAATTCAAGTCATTCAAGGACTTTTGGACAGATGACTAATGAACAATAAATACACGAATTTGCTTATTAAAAATGGTCATCCAGGTGTGGTACGGTGGCACACACCTTTAATCCCAGCACTTGGGGGCAGAGGCAGGCGGGTCTCTCTGAGTTTGAGGTCAGTCTGATCTACATAGTGAAACAAACTTATCTTAAAAAAAAAGAATATATTGGTCATTTACTAGTGAAGAACACTACCATTGAACAAGTCATACTAAAGCCCATGTCTTGGAGACACATGCATTTTTTTGAAAATATTCTACATGCTGGAATGCTCCTGGAGAGTAGATTTTTCTACTTCTCTTTGTAGCGTACACACTTGAATTGTGGCACAGCACAATTCCAAGGGCAGTTCTAAGAATACACTCTACATGTTGTACAGGGGGAAGGACCGAGTTTTAATTAACAAGTGTTTTTGATCTCTTTGTTTTGATGGGGAAAGGGCTTGCTCTTGACATTTGGAGGCACCTCAATACCTGTAGTTTATAAAGCCCAGCCCCCAGGTGTAAACATTTGGTTTCATTCACATTCTCCCTGTCCTCTTTACCTGCCTTTGTTCCAGTTCTGACCACAGTGAGGCATAGACTGACATATTTACATCATGGAAAAGACATGTACCCCTTCCCAGCACCCAGAAAACTTGTTCATACTGCATGACCCTGGTTCCACAGTGGCCATAGTTAATGAATGCAAGTTCCAGGTAGCTCATACTTGGGCTCTCATGTTAATACAGTTCAAAGTACTGCTGTGGGAAAGTTAGCCTGGTCACCAGCTTTGGGTGAGGGCTGCAGATCCCCTGAGACTTAGCTGCATTCTCCACCTGACCTGTCCTTGTGCAGTCTGATCCAGGCTTTCAGGCTGGTGTGTGTGTGTGTGTGTGTGTGTGTGTGTGTGTGTGTGTGTGTGTGTGTGTGTGTTTTATGGGGTCGGGGGAGACACGGAGGGAGGAAAGGAGGAAAGGAGACAGGGAGAGAGGGACAGCAAAGTATGCATTCTTTATTATTCCACTGGGGTATCCTCTGAAGCTTAGAGGATATATTTTCTGTTGGATGGATCTGTCATTAGCTCATTTATTTGCATTATTCTGTGCTTAGGGAAAAAGAAACAAAACAAAAACCATGTTCCTTGATTGCGGCTGTTTCAAAGGGCTTTACTGTTATTGTTTTAGTTTTACCTTCAGATGAGTTGATCCCTTTCCTTAAAACATTAGATTCCTTAAATTGTCTAATCAAAGAGAGCCAAGTGTCAGCTTTGGAAGCCCAAATCTGAGTTCTTCTCCTTTGCTTTGAGCTGGCCTCTGCCCCCTAATGAAACTTGGGATGCCTTACACAGTAGGAAGAAGACTTAAGGGCAGAGAGAGTGACCTGGAAGAAACAACCACTAGATAGCATTTCCAAACACTGCCCTCCCTTGTGAGAGCTTCAGAAGATGTGAGAAAGTGAGGGTGACCCTCAAAATTGCCAAAATCAGGATGTAATTATGCTGCTGAAACATAACATAACACTTAAAAGCTTGGACTGCTAGCAAAGCTAGTATAGTTTTTCGTTTTTTTAATTGACATTGCTGATAGTGTTGGGTTTCATGTAGGTTATTTCTTTCAGGTCTATCATGCTTGCTGAGCATCTTTATTTCCTCTTGTCCCCCCTTTCAGTCCCTTGTCTCCCTCCTCTCTTCAGCTAGTCTCCCTCCTTCTATGAATTGTCCTCTGTTTTCATATCATATAAATATTCACAAATGGCTTCATATATCTACAAGAATCCTAGGACTCACACATAAGGGAAACATTCAATATTTGTCCTTCTGCATCTGACTATTTCACTTATTGTGAATATTTCCATTCCCATTCATTTCCAGCAAGTGGCATAATTTTCAAATATTTGAAAAATCTTCATCATTTGTAGGAAAGAAAATGACCTAAATTTAGCTAGTCCATTAAGTCTACCTCAAGAAGGTAAAAGACCTCCCACCCATATGTATGCTTTATTCTCTTGCTTTCCAGGTGGTTTGATATTCTGTACAACCTAAGTCACATGCCTTAGAGTTCTAATAGGAAGTCTCCCTCTAGACTGAGATATCCAACAGCTGAAGGCCATCTTGAGTCCTCTGTAACCAGGACCAGGGCACCATCTGGGTGCTATAGATTCTTCTGAAGCATTCATTACATATTTTAACATTAAAATGAATCCCTCTTTCCCAAAAGAAAGTCATTTTTGAATACTTTATTATTTATTAAAATCTAGCTATAAATATTTTCCAAGAAGGGCCTATTTAGGATATAGACACAAAAACTCCTTACGCTGCTTATATAATCAGATCATACTAAACTATACCCTGCTCTTAAAGACCAGTATAAAAACAATTTGATGCCTAGTACTTAAAGTGTAGGTAGCCATAAAAGAGTATATATTCTAAAAACACTTAGGTCTTCTATTTTTCCTGTCACTTATATTAATATTTGTCTATTCCCTTTGATAAATTACTGATAAGTTAATCTTAGTTTGAATCAAAATAGACTTTTTTTCCTCAAAAAAAATAAAAGCTTTATGCATCCCTGGAATGAACTAGAAACTTAGAGCAATGGAAACTCCCAGGATCTAAGAGGGTGACCATAGATAAGACTCCTACTGATAGGGGATACGGAGCCTGGACTTTCAGTGGAGGGCCTAGGACAACCCAGTCACAAACCCTTTGACTTACAATTTGTCCCACCTACAAGATGTTCTGGGGTAAAGATGGCACAGAAATTGTGGGAGTGACTGATGACTGGCATAGCTGGAGACTCATACCCTGAGAAGAAGCTCCCCCCGATGGCCAGGATCCAGAGGTGGGATACACCAAAGACCTAGGATAGAACCAAATGGCAAAAGAAGTTAGTGAAACATTTCCTAAAGATATTCTTCTGTACTCATAGATTACATCTAGCCCAACTGTTATCAGAGAGGCTTCACATAGCAACTGATGGAAACAGATGTAGAGACCAACAGCCAAACATCTCAGAGCTTGCAGAATCCTGGGGAAGAGGAGGAGGAAGGATTGGAACACCCAGTGGTGTCATGGCACTACAAGAAAACTCACTGAACCAACTGACCCGGCCTCATAGGGCCTCACAGAGACTGAACCAACAACCAAGGAGACTGTATGAAACTGACTCCATACTGTATGGAGACTGTATGGCTCTCTTCGTATATTTTACTCTTGTGTAACTTGGTCTTCATGTGAGACTCCTAGCAGTGAGAGCTCTGACTCTGTTGCCTGCTTTTGGGACCAATTCCTCCTGCCCAATTGCCTCATCAATCTTAGTGGAGGAGAGGGTGCTGGGTCTCGCTGCAGCTTGATGTATCATGGCTGGCTGATATCCATGGGATACCCTCCTGTATTTGAAGAGAAACATTAGAGGAGGGGGGATGAGGATGGGGGTGTTAGAGCAACTTAATAGGCAACTATCTATTTTTTATGATTAACTTTAATTACTTACAAATTTTCAGTATAAGTACAAGTCTAGAAGATTTTATCTATCAAAGATGGGACTAGATTACTAAAACACTGGAGAGGTGTTAGAAGCTATGATTTTGAAACATTTTCATGTGGTAATTTACTATTATTAAGGACAGAATAAAAAAGATAAATTCATTTTTTTAGCTCATGTGGTTTCTTTTTTTGTTGTCATATACCATTTCCTGTAAATCATGCTTCTCTCCCTCTCACAGCACTCCAGCCTCTCTGGAAGTTGTGCAGCAATGGATCACACGGCACAAGGGTTGAATATCAGCAAAGAAGCCAAGCAGTGGTCTGTCATGGAATAGTGTTCCTCCCACAATGGCAATTTTAGGATCCTGACCTAAGTCTGTGGAGAAATGGAACCCAACGTTTTGGTAAAGTATGCATCTGGCATTAGTTTGTTGCCAAATTGAGGATTTTCCTTTGATTCTTAAGTATATTTGTTTTAACTCCAGACTTAGCTATTGTGCAAATTAGTAGCTACAGCACACCATGTGTAATTCTGGGCCCACATTTTTTTTTCATTCTCTCCTTGCAGAGCACAAAGGAGGAAGTGAAAGCATAAAAACTAATGTCTTTTTACTTAAACACAGGGGATTGGGGTTAAAAAAAAAACCTAGCTAATTTATTTTAGATTTATCTAAATGTTAAGTACTATTTATGTACTACTGAAGTACAGAAATAAAAGCATGAGTGAAACTAAATTGCTCTTTATTAGACATGAGCATGCAAATATTTAAAAAATTCCTGGAATTTTCTACCTACTTAGTAAAATAATATGATCAAATATCTAAATTGCACAAGGTTTTGAAGTTAAGTCTAGTAGATGTACATCACATTGTGAAACAGTTGAACATATCTGTGAGCTATTACCTAAATCAGCACTGAATAAGAAAAACAATCAGTGGTATGCCACAGTTTGTCCTTATTTCTCATTTACTTCTCTAGAAAAGTCTGGGACTCCTGCTAATTCAAGGCCAGGTTTGATTAGGTCAGTTTTTTGGTTTCAGGTCTTCTCCATTTTCTCATTTGTATGGGATGAGTGTGTTTCTGCAAGGTGTCATAGATTCTGTTCTATTGTTGTTAAAAGACATCATGAACATGGCAACTCTTATAAAAGAAAGCATTTGTTTGGGTCTTGCTTACAGTTTCAGAGGCTTAGTTTTGTTTGTTTTGTTTTGTTTTGTTTTGTTTTGTTTTCAGAGACAGGGTTTCTCTGTGGTTTTGGAGGCTGTCCTGGAACTAGCTCTTGTAGACCAGGCTGGTCTTGAACTCACAGAGATCCGACTGCCTCTGCCTCCCGAGTGTTAGGATTAAAGGTGTGAACCACTTCTTCCCGGCCTGAGGCTTAATTCTTTATCATCATAGCATGGAGCATGGCTCAGGGGCAGTAGCTGAGAGCTGCATCATGGTCTGCAAGCAGAGAGAGACTCTGGGCTAGGCATGGGCTTTTGAAACCTCAAAACCCTTCCTCAGCGACATACTTTCTCCAACAAGGCCACACCTCCTAGTCTTTTTAATCCTTTCAAAATAGTGTCACTCCCTGGTGACTAAGCATTCAAGCATATGAGTTTATAGGGGCCATTCTTATTCAAATCACCACACAGAACAAAGTCTTCTCAAGACATTGGAGAAGCTTTCACACACTCATTTATACCAGGAGCTTCTGGCAAAAGTAGAGCTAGAACACAGGAGAGTAACATCTGGCACCACAGAGCCAATGCTTTGAAAAGGAGAACTGGTGCTGATGGTTTAATCTATAGCATATAATCCTAAATTCATCTTAATCTACAGCAATTAATAACTAAGTTTTAAACATGATCAATTCTGTTGAAAGTAGAAATTTATGTCAGTATTGAGAAATGCAATATAAAATGAGAGACATCTTTATGGCTGTTTTATAACACATGTTAAGGACTTTGAAAATTCTTTCTGGAAAATGGGAACTTAAAGTGGATGAGTAAACCTTGTTCAAGTGCATTTGGATTCATGTTGCTTTACTTTTCCTTTTTATTGGAAAATCCAGACTAAAGCACCATATAGACTTTAGGATTTTTTTTTTTTTTTTTTGGTCTTGTTTTGTTTTTCGAGACAGGGTTTCTCTGTGGAGCTTTGCAGCCTATCCTGGTACTAGCTCTAGAGACCAGGCTGACCTCGAACTCACAGAGATCTGCCTGCCTCTGCCTCCCGAATGCTGGGATTAAAGGTGTGCTCCACCAACGCCCAGCTTAGACTTTAGGATTTTTATGACACAGAATGATTACTTGAAATGCCAGCCAAAATGTCTCCAGTCAGTACAAATACCTAATTGAGCTTGTATGTTATGAATTTAGTTGTTTATCATGGTTCTAGTTTGCTTTGTATTGCTTTGATAATACACCACGAGCAAAAGCAACTTGGGGAGAAAAGGGCTTATTTCTACTTAGAGTTGTAGCCCATCGTGAAGGAAAGTCAGGGCAGAGACTCATGGCAGGAACCTGGAGGAAGGAACTGAAGCAGCGGCCATGGAAGTATATTGTTTACTAGTAATTCCCAAGGCTCACTCATCTTGCTTTCGTATTCATCCCAGGGCCACCTGCTCAGGGGTGGCATCTACCTACAGTGGGTTGGGCCCCCACACATGAATCATTAATCAAGAAAATGCCTCATAGACTTCACAAAAGGCCAATCCAATGGAGACATTTTACTCAATTGAAGTTCCCTCTTCCTAAAATGACCTTGGCTTATGTCAAGTCAACAGTACAGTAATCAACATATATTTTACCTGCTTTGTGACCTCTTATATTAAAACACAAATAAATATCTTTTGAATCATTTTACTTTTTTGCTCACAATTTTTCTAAGGTTCATATTCCATTCTTTCCTTCTTACTATTCTTTCTCCTTCTGGTTCTTGTTAATCTTTATTTTATAGATGACAAAACTGAGCCTTGACATGGTTAAATTATTTGTCTAAAGTGACACGTGTACGAACACTTTGTAAAAGAAGATGCATAAATGGCCAACAAGTATGTATGGAAAGGAGTTTAACTTCAGTAATCATCAGAGAAATGCCATTCAGAACCCCAGTGAGCTATTTCTTCACACCTCTTACTAAAGCTATTATCCAGAAGGAAAAGAAAATAATGAGTGCTAGGGAGAATGTGGAGAGAAGGGCACACTCAAACACTGCTGTTCACAATTCAAATCAGAAGTACAGAATTACACACAGAGGTTCCTCAAATAGACTCATGATAGAACCACCATAAAACGTTATATAGCCCTCTTGAGAAAAGAAATGAAGTTATCACATCATGGAGGTACATATGCTCCTATCACAATATTATGTACAATAACCATGGTGTGGAGACAGATGGTTTTAATGAATGAATGGATAAAGGGAAGTGTGTGTGGTTATATATACAGATGTAGAAACAAAAATACCATATGTTTTAATTAGGGTTTCTTTTTCCTGTGACAAAAACACCATGACCAAAAAGCAAGCTGGGGAGGAAAGGGTTTATTTGGTTTATACTTCAGCATTGCTGTTTATCAATGAAAAAAGCCAGGACAGGAACTCAGAGCAGGAACCTGGAGGTAGGAGTTGATGCATAGGCCATGGAGGGATGCTGCCTGCTGGCTTGCTGCACATGTCTGACTTGCTCAGCCTGCTTTCTTATAGAATTCAGGACCACCAGCCCAGGGCACCAGGGCTGGGTGCTCCTTCATCAATCACTAAGAAAATGCCTCACAGACAGATTCTATGAACGCATTTTCTCAATTGAGGTTCCTCCCTTTCAGATAACCTTAGCTTGTGTGTCAAATTGACATAAGACTAAAAAGCGAGCAAACTGTATGACCTCAGTTACATTTAAAACTTGAAAGGCCAAAATCAGAGTGGACCAGGACTTACTAGTTAGCAAGTAACAGGAAATTTTTATCACATGCCTACACTTACAGTCAAAAATGAGGAAGTTATGAAGTCCTTAAAAATTGAAAAAATAAGTCAGTCTATGTATATGTATATCTGTGTGTGACTATGTGCATGTTTATGCAGGTGACTTCAGAGGTCAGAAGAAGGCATCAGATTACCTGGGGCTGGTGTGACAAGCAGTTTTGAGTAACACAAATGATAAGAACCAGCTCTGCAAGAGCAAGAACAGTACTTTCTTCTTTTTTTTTTTTTTTGTAATATGATTTAGTCCAATTAATTTTTTTATTTTAGAAACAATCTTATTTTACATATCAATCCCACATCCTCTCACCTTCCCATCCTCCATGCCCCCAATGACCCCCCTAAACCATCCCCACTCACTCCCCAAGGATAGTGAAACCTTCCACGGGGGATCATCAAAGTCTGTCACATCATTTGGGGGAGGGCTGAGAGGGAGGCGGGATGAGCAAAGGAGCAAAGGAGCCAAGACAGTGCTGGAGAAACCCACAGAAACATTTGACCTGACCTAGTGAGAGCACAGAGACCCTAGTAGTAAAGCTGGGGAACCAACATTGGACCCAACCAAGCCCCCTTAATGTGGATGTCAGCTAGGAGACCTGACAGTCTATGGGACCTCTAACAGCGGAACCAGTCTTTATCCCTAGTGCACAAATGGACTTTGGGAGCCCATTCCCTATGGAGGGATACTATTGCAGCCCAGATACAGCAAAGAGGGCCTAGTCCCTCCCCCAAATGATGTGTCAGACTTTGATGATTTCCCCGTGCAGATGAAAGCAGAAGCAGGCACCCACAACTAAACACTGAGCTATACTCCTGGAATCCAGCTGAACAGCACATTTTCTTAATCACTGAGCCATTTTTCCAGCTCCCAAGTTCCTAGTTCTTAATGTACAGTAGCATGGCTAGAGTTATAAATAATGTATAGTGAATTTGAAAAATGAAATTTCCTGAGAGAAGAGAAATTAGGTGTTTGTGGCACACATGTGAGAGGCATAACCACTTGAAGCAACAGATATGCTTTTGGTTTGCTTTTGTGTGATGGAAATTGAACCAGGGCCTTGCTCCCACCAGGTAAGTGCTGTATTACGAGACATATTCTCAGCCCATGAAGTGATGTGTATTTTAATTATTTTGACTGTGACATTCATTTGGCAATGGATGCATTTACTGAATTGTCATGCTACATCTTAAATATAAAAGTTTTGTGAATCATATTGCAGTAAAGATGGAAATCACAAAACCCTAATAGTATTTTTTTTTTACAGATACCACTTTTAGTGGTCAATAATAGGAAAATAATTATATTGTAGGTAACCTTCACATAAGTCCAGATTTATGCTTACAACATGGATAAAATGGCATTTTTATTATTAAAAGCATGTATGTTTGTGGTTTATAAACCCTGCCATGGAGAATATTGGTGTCAAGTGTCTCCTACTGTATAATGCTAGCCTCCATTAGAGGCCCCAAAGTTCTTTTAGAGGCCACACATGGCAGATAGAGAGTTTGGCCTCTCATTCTGATTTCACTCAGAAGAGCTCTGTTTTTTATAAATTGACTAATTTTTGCTCCATGTAGGTTATAAAGTATTATTTTATATTTTTTCTAATAAAAATAATGTTTTCAGAATCTAAAATTGCTGTGAGTCCTAAATTCTATTAGCTTTACAAACATTATATTTTCCTCAAGCATGTTTCAAAAAATCATTGAATCTTATTGTTTTAAGGGTTACAGCTCCCAATATGTCATTATCTTCCAACTTTATTTAAACACTAACTAATAAACTAGTCTACCAAGCAGAAAAGCAAAACAAAGGTTTTGGTCTTAACTTCCCATTTTCAGTTAGACCAGTTGTATAACTTCAGTTTATCCAGATTTTTTGTGTTATGATTTTATCTTCTCCCCCAAATTTTGTGTACAAACTACCACTAATAATTTAAAACAGAAACCAAGCCTTTTCCAACAGTGTTGTGGGTTAATAAAGATGTAATTTAGAATGCCTTATCAAAATGCCTCTTTTGATATTTTTATCAAATGTTTTCTTAGATGTCTCAAATATCACCTTGCATGGAAGATAGGATTTTGATATTGACTTGGTTTTCTCAGTAATTAAAAGTGAGTAATAGCAATTGTTATAAAGATCAAGCTAGGACTCATTTATCAAAGAGGCTTAAAAGATCAGAGATATGAATCACAAAAAAAATCAGCATGAAAATTCTCACAGCTCATAAATGGCAAAATGAGGCCCAAAATTCCTAACA